CACACACACACACACACACACACACACACACACACACACACACACACACACACGCACATATCAGAAAAAAAGAAAATGAGATGTCCTAGAATCAAAGAATGTCTATGTTGGAAATACCTTAGAGATAATTTACGCTAAAGGAAGAAATTGAGTATCTGGTTAAGAAGAGGTACCTGAGAATGGGATTTGAATTTCTGAACATTTAAAACTCATGAAATATAGGATCAATACCAAGGAAGGGATATACATAGTTTTAAGAACATAACTTGGCTTTCAGTGCATCTGCAAGCTCAATGAGCCAACAATTTGATTAAAAGATTAATGCATTTTTGCACCAACAAAACTAAAATACATTGATCCAAACATTTTGGAGAGCAATTACCCTTTGATCCAGCAATACCACAAAGAGATCATAAAAAAGCGAAAAGGACCTACACTTATAAAAACTTTTTTTTGTAGCTCATTTTGTGGTGGCAAAGAATTGGAAAGTGAGGGAATTGCCCATTAGCTGGTGTACCGGCCGCGCCAACCTTCTGCCGGCCGCGCCAAACACTCTCCTCCTATAAGGAACAAGCTGCCAGAGTCATACTTACTTACCAGTCTTTGGTGCTTACCCGGATACACACACAGAGATGACCCATCAGGAGGCTGCCAACACCCGAGCTTTATTCAGAGGCCATCACAGCAAGGCCAAGCAGGAAGGCCAGAGCAACAGAGCAGAAGCAAAGAGAGCGCGCTCCCGACCACGACCGTTCCTCAGAACCTACTAAGCCCCTCCTCCTCAGCCCGCCTACTAGCCAATGATTGTAGGGTCAGATACCGGAAGGGGCTGTCTGAGTTTAGCGCACCAAGGGAGAGGGAGTGACACAGGAGGCCAGGACTGGATACAGGAAGGACGTGTCTGGGATTAGTGCATAGACAAAAGAGTACGTGACCTAGGAAGTCAGACTCAGATACCGGGAGGAGGCGTCTGGGGTCAGCGCTACACAAAGGGACCCAGGAAGTCAGGAAGGTCACAGGAAGGAGGCATCTGGGGATAGGGAGGGGACTAAGCAAAGGGAACTCGTCCTCTGTCATTCCACTCCCACGTGGCACCGCCCCTTGCCTCAGGAGCACATGCTCTGGCTACTTCCTTGCACCCAGCTTATCTCACAAGCACTGCCCACTGCCTCAGGGCTTCTCCGTACCCAGCCCATCCCAGTTCACCACAACTCCGCCTACCACAGCCCCTGCCTCGACTTCCAAAAATACCCAGATTCTACCCCAATCTTGCCACAACGCCCACCTGGCAGTAGCCAACATCAGACAGTCCCTCACAATGAAGAAAAAACCTAAAGCAATTTAAATGAGATTGGACAAATGATAAGCTTACTAAAAAAAAAATTAAGTCTCTCTGATAAAAGTTTCTCATATCCAACATACACTGGGAACAGATTCAATCGTATGTTAGAATTTGAATAATTTCCTAACAAATGCTTAATTAATGGAATTGTGAAGAAAAAAGAAAGAGGATAAATGAAGCATTTAAAAATGTATCATTGAGAACAGAAAGAAGGCCAGAAGCATGAACAAGTAGGAGATATTTTAAAGTTACACACTGAATTTATTACATCTCTGAAAAAGAAAAACAAACCTTAGGCAAGAAATATTTGCATTTTCTTGCGCAAACTGAGCAGCAATTAGGCTTAGTGCAGTGGACTTGGAGTCAAGAAGATCTGGTTCTGGATCCAATCTCAGAAACTTAACAGTTGTTTGACCCTGGTAAAGTCACTTAACCCATTTAGGGCTGTTTCTGTACTGGCTAAGATTAGAATAGGAAAAAAAATGTTTAAAAAGCCTTTTCAGATTAAAACGATATCTTTTAGGAAGGATAGTAGAGAGCTTAAGAATATTTTTTTGACAACCAAGATTGTGTGAAAGGCCTCAAGATCACACATAATAAAAAATGGTTGAAATATGGGATATTCGGTTTGGAAAAGAGAAAGATCAAAGAGGGTATCTAGTAGTCCTTATATTCAAGTCTCAGTTAAAATCTCATCTTCTTAATACTTTTTAATTCTAGTGCCTTCCCTCTGTCAATTACTTCCTATTTGTAAGGTGGGATGGCTTGAACAGAACACTAGTCCTGAGGTCAGGAGGATATGAATTCAAATCCAGCCTCAGATACTTACTAGCTTGTGACCTTGGGAAAGTTACTTAACCACTCTTTTGCCTCATTTCCTCAACTGAAACTTTTGCCAAGAATATCCCTAACCCTAACCCTACTTTCAGCCAAAGATAACGTTTATTAAGGACTCTTAAAGAATCATAAGGACAAGTGGGAAGTCTCAGCCCTAAATGGTGACCAGCATGGATCTTATACACAGAAAGACTATGGGAGGGATTTAGGAGAGGCCAAGTAGGTTGGGGTGACCAGAGGAGGCGCTGCGAGGAAGATCTTGAAGCTGGGGTGAATGGGGGAGGAGTCCTGGAAGAATCTCCATGGGAGTGTCTGGGAGGTTGAATGGGCTCTGGATAAGATCAAGAATGGGAAGTATAACCCACAGAATAGACAGTGGAGGGCTTGGCTTAATTAGGGTAACAAATAATTGGGAGATAGGGCCTAGGTGATAAGGAAGAGCCAGGTGATATGAATAAGAATAACTTCAGAGTAAGATTTTCTTGACAAGGTAAAATTCAAATAGGGTTTTCTGTGGCCCATAGACAATTTCTGGGGTGAGGGACAAAGGTATCGACTTGGGCTCATACCCCATCACATTGCCTTACTACTCTGCATCAATTGACAGAGTTTTATATGCTTATGGAGACAGTTAGATGGTACAGTATGTAGTCCCAGACATGAGAATCATGAAGACCTGAATTAAAATAAGACTTTTATTAGCTTTTTTACCCCATGTTTCTACACCTATAAAATTGGAATGATAATACGTACTACCTTACAGGGTTGTCATGAGACTCAAATAAGAAAAAATATGTAAAGCATTTTCCAAATTTTCAAGTGTTAAACTTTAACCATTCAGAAAGAACCAAAAAGCTTTTTTCTTTAGTGTGGCCAACAATGCTGTTATACAGATTTGTGCTTGTTATTTTCTCTCCAGTTTAGAAGAGATGTATGTTATTGTTCAGTTGATTAGTCACGTTCAACACTAACTACAGAGGCTTGTTACTTCCTTCTCCAGCTCATTTTGCAGAAGAGATAACTAAGGCAAACAGGGTTAAGTGACCTGCCCAGGGTCATACAGATTTTACCTCAGGGAAGATGAATCTTCCTGAATCCAGACTTTGTGCTCCTAGCCCTAACCTCCTAATTGCTCTGCCCAAAACACGTAGGTATAAAAGAGTGCTTTCTACCCCATTGTCTACTGACTTCAACTTTACCCCTCAGCCCATTTACCCAGAAAGGGAGAAAGAACTACCTGTTGTAGTTGTTGTTGATTCACTTGAGGTCCTCGGCGGGAGCTACCTTCTTCCTGCCCAGATTCCTCCTCAGCTTTTGCTCCGTCTTTTTCCTTGTTTAGTTTCTCTCGGATAACAGGCTCTCCCCGAAGTATGTGGCACAGGATGGCCAGCATGGATTCAGCCATCCGCCCACCATAAATCTTTACAGGCTTCCGGTTCCACAGGTTCTTTATGCAGTTGAAAGCCGCCTATAAGGAATGGATGTAACTAAGTGGCCTTTTTTCAGGGGCATTTTTCAAATTTAAAAAGACCTATACCTGAAGGAAGCTAGAAACTAGCTAGTAAGAGGGGGGAGATTTAGACTATTTCTAGTCTGTAAAGGTTTAAAAAGAACGGTCAAGGGTAAAGTTACTTCCCCTGTTTCTTTCCCCATCTGAATATTCCATTTGCAAGTTAACTTGTTACTATCTAATGTCACATTAAAAAATGTTCTAAATTACTATTAATTAGAGAAATGCAAATTAAAACAACTGTCAGTTACCACCTACACTTATCAAACTGACTAACATAAAAGGAAAGGAAAATGTTGGAGGGGATATAGGAAAAAATGACCCAACCATTCTGTAGATCAATTTGGAACTATTAACTAAAGGACTACAAATCTGTGCATACCCTTTGGTCCAACAATACTAATGCTTGGTCTGTATCCCAAAGACATACAAAAGGAAAAGGAACTTTATGCACAAAAATATTAATAGTAGTTCTTTTATTTGTGGCAAAGAATTGGAAATTGAGGGGATATCTATCAACTGGGGAACGACTGAACAAATTGTTGTATATAATTGTGATAGAATACTATTGTATAAGAAAGGTAAGGCAAATAATTTCAGAAAAATCTGGACTTACATCAACTGATGCCAAGTGAAATGAGTAGAATGAGAAAATTGTATATAGTAACAGCAATATTTTATAATGATTAACTGTGAATGACTTAGGGTGAAAAATGCTACCTATCTACAGAGAAGGAACTGATAGAGTCTGAAGGCAGACTGAAACATATCTTTTTAAAAATTTTCTTGCTTTTTTAAAAAAAGTTTGTGTTTTCTATCACAACATAACTAACACAGAAAAATGTTTTGCATGACTGTGTATGTATAAACATTATCAGACTGCTGGCCTTCTCAATGAAAGGGGAGGGAAGAAGAGAATTTGGAACTCAAAATTTTGAAAAAATAAATGTTAAAATTGTTTTTATACGTAATTTAGTAAAAGTAAATATTAAAGCCCTGAACCCTGAGTTCAAATCTGGCCTCAGAACAAACACCTGACACTAGCTACGTGACCTTGGGCAAGTCACTTAATCCCAACTGCCTTCAAAATTAACCCAGATTCTTTCTTTTAATGACAATACTCAGTAGCCTCTTCTCCTCTGAAATTACATAGATTATAGTTGTACCTTCCCCACCATTTTTATCATCCTGCTCTGTTTTCATCTTTTTTTCCCAACTGTTATCCTTATACTAGGAGCCTTCAATATCCATTTCATCAATATCCTAAATTTCTCCTCAGTCATACCCAGAGATCATTACACCCTATATACACCATTACTTTTTTTCCTGAAAAAAAAAAAAAAATAAAAATAAAAAAATAAAAAAACACAATCCCTACAAAAGTAACAAAAAATCACAACACAAAACCTAAACAACACCACTTGACTACCATGTCACTATCCCCTATATCTCACTTTATTAAACCAATTCTTTACTCTCATAATAATCTCTAATCTCTCTATTCCTTAGTGTTTTTTCAGGCTAGTATCATGTTGACTTAATTCTTAAAAAATTTTATTCCACATTCTCCCCTTCTATTGAACTAATCTCCTTCATTATCATGAAGTGATATTATTATTACCATCACTGATATTTCCTTGACAAATCTCAGTCCTAGCACTCCGACCTCCTATACTCCTATTCATATGCTGCTAGAGCTAGTCACATAAATATATTTACAGGATACCCTAAAAAATTTATGTTATTTAACTTCAATAAGGGCCTTATTAAGCAATTACATTATCACTCCCTGTTTTACTCCCTACAACTGCTACTCTCTAACTTCTTGTTTTAACATTGATCCATGCTCTACTCTTCTAAGCTATGGCTCTCATACCTTTTAAAGAGGAAATTATGAATTCCCTTTTCCTCTTTTCTTCATCTCAAGACTCTACTCTTTGCTTTCTAAAGCCTGCCCATCTAATACCTCCCTTCCATTCTTTTATGCAGACTACTATCTTAAATATTTCCCTCTCAAATCTTCAATCGGTGGAAACCTACAGGTTACTTCCATATCTCCTTTAAATATGGACAAGCATTTCTAATCTCAAAAAACAAACCTACCCACATAAACCAGAAGCATTTCTATATATTATTAATAAAACAAAAGCAAGACACAGAAAGAGAAATTCCTTTCAAATTTACTGAAGACAGAAATATTTGGAAGTCTACCCGCCAAAACAAACTCAGAAACTATATGAAAACAATCACAAAACACTTTTCATACAAAGAAAGTCAGATCTAAAATCACTGGAAATATATCAGTTGCACATGGGTAGGCTGAACTAATACAATAAAAATAACAATTAAACCTAAATTCATGTACTTATTCTATGCCATGGCAATCAAACCACCAAAAAATTATGTTATAGAGCTATAAAAAACAAACTAAACCAAAACAATAACAAAATTCATCTGAGAGAACAAAAGATCCAGAATCTCAAGAGAATTAATGAAAAGAAATGCCAGAGAAAGTGGCAAAGCTTTACAGACCTCAAATTGTAACATAAAGCAGCACTCATTAAAACTACTTGGTTCTCGCTAAGAAATGGAGTGGTGGATCAGTGGAATGGGTTAGGTATGCAAGACACAGCAGTCAATGATTAGTCATCTATTATGTGAGAAATCCAAAGACCTCAGCTTCTGGTATAATAAATTACTATTTGACAAGACTGTTGAGATCATATATTACCATACATATGTAAAATAATTTATAAAAATTGACAATTTCTTAATTGCTGAATGTACCAAAATTTAAGTGAGCCTCTGTGTTCAAGCAGGCTGAGGTAAAGTAAAGAGGTATACACAAAGAGTACTCTGAGTCTATCAACTGAATCAAAGAAACCTAACAGATCATACTGATTTTAGAATTATTTTTTCACTAATCCTTCACTCAATGAGACATTTTACTTATGTACCACAAGCAAAGTGAGAACAATAATAATGGATTAAATTTTTCTTTCTAAGTCCAGCATCTTAAGTTCTTTTATTTTTGTGGCATATTGGAAAGTGTTCAACGGTAAAACAAGTAGCTCATCCTTTGCCCCCTGCCATGAAGATCTTGTGTGTGTCTGCATTTTACATATAAATATATTTATATATACATGTTGATAACACTATACAAAGAAATGCACGCATTGCAATAAACAGACCTTATGCTTTATATACTTATATTTGTCCTTGTTTCTCCTTTAATAGAGGAGAATGTTTTGGTTTCTGCCTTTGTGGTCTGCAGTACTGATCTTGTCAGTCTCCACACAGAACAGAGTATTCCTATTCCTAAGTAAGGCTTAAGTAATGCCTATTGCTTACTTCAAAATCCTCTATTTTAGTGGAATCTCTTGTAGGAACATAAAACTCACCTTCTGAGTCACTACAAGGAAGCGGAGGGCACTAAACTGTGGATAGTTTTGACCCCCAGGCAGCTTAGAAGGGAGGGAGTGTGGTGACTCAAGTATAGTTGTTGGGTTCACCATTTTTTCTACCAACATAAGCCAAGCATCCAGAAACTCTCCTGTGCCATCAGGCAGGTCTGGATGTTCAAGTCCCTCAGATATGGGAATTTTGCCTCCCATTGAAAGAGCCCAATTGAAAGTCCTACAAGGGAAAAGAGAAAAAGTTATGAGACAAGAATGTCACTGAGACAAAAGGGGACATTATGGTGCCCGCAAATTCCTCCTTTCTTTTATTATCTCTTTGTGCCCATTCACTGTTCACAAACTTGACTCAAACTACAGTGCTTTGTAAAACTCAATTTGGAATTTTTCTTATTCAAATCAAGTGGCACATGTTCACACTGAAATTTTTAGATATTTTTCAATAGAAGTAGAGATTCCATGGGTGTTTTTTTGCGGGGAGAAAGTCCAAGTTCCGCCTCTAAAATACCAAGTGTACCATGTCTTTAGACACACTTGAATTCAAGTCAGGGGTTAAATTATTAAGTTAAGAAAGAATACCATCTTCTTGGCATGAAAGGATGGAACCAGGACACACTCAAAAGATTTTCTTTCAAAACCTGGAAAGACTTGTATGATCTGATGCTGAGAGAAGTGAGCAGAACCAGAAGAACATTGTACATGGTAACATTCATGCTGTGTGTTGATAAATTTTGATAGACTTATCTCTTCTCAGCGATATAAGGACGAAAGACATCTCTAAAGGCCTTGTTATGGAAAATGCTAGCCACATCCAAAGAAAGAACTATGGAGTTTGAACGCAGATCAAAGCAGACTATTTGCTCTTTCCTTTCCTTCTGTTTTGTTTCTTCTCGCTTGTTGTTCCTCCTATAGGTTCTACTTCTTTACAACATGATTAATGTGACCAGGAATGTACATGGAGAGCCTATAAGAGATTGTATGTTGTCTTGGGAAAGGAGAGGAAGAAAATTTAAAAATCAAAAGCCTGTGAAAGTGATAGCTGAAAACTAAAAAGAAATAAATTAAAAAAAAAAAAAGATTTTCTTTCCATAAAAGAGTGCCTTGATGGCTTTGGATATTTCTCTTCCTCGAGAGCATGCCTTGTCACATGAGAAAGGACAAATTAAATGAAACATCCAATTCTCTGGGAAAAAACGTTGTAGTATATTGGGGTATTCTTACTCAAAAAGAGCACTGTGGCCACCAGAGCAGAGGAACTTCTGTAGCATAAGGTGATAAGGATATTTTCTCTCATCAAACAGCATTGGGGAAGTGAAGCCAACTGAACAGATGAAAAATGTCAGCCTGTAAAAGAAAAAGCAAAAATGGGTTAATTTTTACCAACTAATCACCATAACTATGAAATAAGATCACATGAACTGCTTTAGATCATTAAATAGCTACACATGAATATGGACTAATCTGTCTAATTTGAGGGGTAAAAGATGAGTTACATAAACTGTACTTTAAGACCTCAAAGGCCTTCTTCACCCAAATTTGTAGGATGTAGAGGCAAGATAAACAGTATGAAACAAGTATGGGGCGTAAAGCCAGAAACTTTAAAAATCTTCTTCTCTATGGAGGACAGAAAGAAGTCACAATTGAGGAACATTTTTTTAAAAACCAGAAAACATAAGGGATGGAAGGGACCTTTGGACTCTGCCTCTTACTGGAGAACTCAATGCACTAAATGTGCTTGCTTTGGGACATTTGGATACTGGAAATGGTGTGATGAAGAAAGATTATACTTGGCTTTGCTTACCTCTGTGCTTCTCTCAACAAAAATTCCCCTTCCTGTTTACTATGTGGTAAAGAACACAGAGTGTGGGAGTCTGGGAAGGTCTGGGCTTCAACACTTAATAGCTATGTCATGTGGCATGTCACTGAACTTTAATTTCCTCATCTGCAAAATGGGGATAATTGAGGTTCCCCAAGGTCAGATGACAAATTAGGAGCAGAAGACACAAACCTTTAGATTTAATTTAATTCCAAATCACAGGGTAACTTTATATTTCATTGTTATCAGCAATCTTTGTGACCAAAAATCTGACTTTACATAAAGTAATCCTCTTTCTTAATTTTGCTGTAAAAATGTAAAAGGTACAACACATACAACATATACACACACTACTAAGAGTGTTTTACCTGAATCTTGGTGTAGGTGTATATGGTGGGGGCTGCCAGGATAAGCCCTTAGTGAGTAGCTTGGTGAGAGCTGAGGCTGTTGACCGAGCGGCAGGTGTTGGTGCAGTAGTAGTGCTGGCTGAATGATGGGTCCTCCTCTGGCGTACAGGTGATCCCACACAGAGTTTAACAAGACGACCAAAAAGCTCAGCAAGAGCTCGGCCTAACCTGGAGGAGGCTAAATATTCAAAACATGATAGTCAGACTGGCTTAAAGTGAAAAAATTAAATCATCTGCCAATTTGTCCTTGGCTTGCCTTTAAAATGAACAATCATGTAAAAGGAAATTCTAAGACACAGCTCTCTGGAAATAAAATTGACTCTCTCCATCATAAGACTTTAGCAAAAGATGTGAGAAATGTTCTTCTATGGTTGACATAATGGTGTATACTGCATGTGCCTCATTTGATGACAGACACTAGGTAATAAATAAAAAACTCAGAGGAACAAATGCTCACAAATATGGATAATGAGAAAAAAACTAGGACGCAGGTCAACGTAATGAGCCACAGCTCATAAATGGGAATCCAGTAAAAAATCTAAATATAACTGGGACATTTCTTGGTTCCACATTCAAAGGAGCTCATTTTTTTGCTAATCAGAAGTTTCCTATCAGAACCCATACAAGATTTTCTTGGTGGGAACACAGTACTATAGTTTAATGAATAAAAAATTTATAAAAGTCACAAAGATATAAATATCCACCTAGAATGGTAGCTAGAATAAACTGTCCAGAGAATAAAAAAATCAAGAACAAGGACAAAATCCAAAATTTTCTTGTGG